AATAAGAACCAAGATGCATTATGTAAAGGTACAATTCCCAATGAGAAATGTAATTGTGTTGTTTACCTACAATGTACCAATAAAAGAATTTATTTAAAAAAAAAGAAATCACAGAATAAAGCAATATTCAGAAATTAAAAAAAAAAACATTCTGGAGTTGGAAAGCTTATCTATGATGAGCTGCAAAAGCAAGAAAAATAATCCTGAACCATTTCCCAGTTTAGAAGCGTTTGTTTATCCTTCTCTGCTACAGTGAGAGCCAAACTTCTGATGGTTTGGATTAGCTTTTAATACTTCTAGCCCTGTGGGTGTTCATCTTAATGTGTGGTCCACATGCATGTCACAAGCACTGTCTTGTCACCACACTGACTAGTGGCCTTGAGGTGACATTGGGCTGCACATTTGCACACACAGTCCTCCTCGGTCCAAGGGTTCCCAAGTTCTCAGTTGTCCACTGAGTCACCTGGCTTGCTTTGATTCGATAACAACCTGAGAGTCATGTAGTCCTTCTTAGTAAGCATCTCAGTCATATTTTTAAAAAAGAAATCTACAGTATTGAAGCTGAAACTGTGAAACAGTGGCAGGCCAGGTGGGGGGTACATTAATATGGATGAGAGACTTCCATAATTCTTGAGAATTGTTCATGGCAGAGTCATTTTATCTGGAAACCTACTTCAGAGTTGACATAAAGTTTGTGTTCACTTTTTCATTTGCTTCACAAGTCCATTCCATTTCCACGCTATTTGTGTGGGATTCACACATCCTGAAAAGAATTAGTTTTAGGATCAAATAGACTCCTGGTCTTTACCAGGTTTTTGCTGAGCCTCAGTTTCCTTACCTATGAAATGAAAATAACAGCACCATCTTTGCGGGGTTCTAAGGATTGGATGCAATGTATATAAAATGACTGTCATATGGTATGTACTTATAAATGACAGCTATAATTAATACCATTTTATTATTATTACATTACCTCTGTAAAGCAAGAGAGAGTGTCAGTCCAATCTTCCATGTTTAGCTAAGAATGGTTCTCTGCCAGCCATCAGCTGGACAGGAAGAGGCTCACATTCCCAGTGGCCTGTGGTTGACTTGTCTCACTCATGAGAGGTGTCATCCTCAACCTCCTACTTGATCTTCTTGATAAAACTGTAGTAGTCACTGCTGCCTGTGACCTTTGCCTGCTGAGCTGAGTTAGCAGAGTCACTTGCTCAGCTAGTGCATTCAGAATCCACCCACCTAATATCTAACCAAGTTCCTCTCTGCCATTTTCCACCCACTGACCCTACATACTGCGTGCTGGCTCTAAGTTCTTAGCTGCCTCTGCTAGAATCAGAGTTGGGTTGAGCCTTTCTTCTCTATTGACATGGCCTTGAAAGAAGTATCCTTGGTTCAATGAGGGTTCAGAATATTGTTCTTTTACACTCCTTCTTTCTATGTGTCTATTCTGACTTGATGGTGTCAATGCCATGGAGATCCAAAGTGAACTTGGCCTCTACTGCAGCCTGAGTGAGGTTCATATGTTGAGATCTTGGTCCCTATGAGGTGGTGCTGAGAGGTAGTGGGACCTGTACAGGGTGCCTAGTGCTGAGTCCTTTGAGGGTGCTGCTCTGAGAAGGGATTAGTATCCCCCTATAGGGATCCCTGAGCTCTCAGAAGAGCAAGTTTTTCAAAGAATGAGCTCCATCCCTGAACCATTCTCTGGCTTTCTGTTTCACTCCTGTTGTTGAAATACCATCTGCCATGAGGTCTTCACCAGAGCTGAGCCAGTGCTGGCTCCAGGGCCTTGAATCTTCACAGCTGTGAGCTGAATAGACCTCTTTATAAAGTTAGCTCACCTTGGGTATTTCATTGCAGTGATGATGAGAAATGGACTAACAGGGTCTTGTGTAGAGTTAGCATGGGCCACCAGGGAAGCCCAGTCAATTACCCTGAAGCAGCAACCGTGCCGATCTACTTGCCACATTGGACAAATACCCACCCTCTGACGTGGGGCAACAGAGCCGGCTCCACTGCAGGAAGCTCAAGTGGCTCCATTCCAGGCTCAGTCCTCCACATGCCTGTCCTAGCTTCCAAGAAACACACACTCCTGCTCTTTGCCACCTCCCTGCCCACAGTCTCTGTCTCCCCTCAGGGCTGCCTTTGCCTTTATGGCACACTGTATTCCTGACTTCTCTGCAGTTGACCACCTGATTAGATCTTGCTCGTCTTGTTTTTCCAGTCCCTCTTGGCCTTTCTGGGTGACTCACTAGCAAATCTATCTTTAAGTGTGAGTGGTTGATACTAACTCCAGGCTCCCTTTCATATTCACACTTGCAGTACAGCAGGAGCTTTTATGGATCCAGAATTTTTGGGCCTGCTCATCTACTCCTGTCAGGTGACAACAATAAGCCGGGACACATGGAATAGAGATTCCCAGGTATCTTCCCTGGATATTCCAAATTTAAATAAGGCTCCAGAAACATAAATTTTAAATAAACAGCCCAAGAGACTCTTGTCTTCAGGAAGCACTGGGAAACACCGAAGTGCTACTGTAATCCTGGTCACTTTACAGAAGAGGAAATGAAAGCCTGAAGAAGAGTAAGAGCTCACCTGAGGTCACCAGCTCCTCCATTGCAGATCTGATTCAATGTCAGGTTTTCTGATGCCCTTGATGCCAAAGCCTCTGCTTGGGAAGGTAGGCCCTGACACTGGGAATTTAGGGCTCCGTGTTGGACAGTGGGTGAGGAGCCAACTGTAACAGCAGTCACTCCTTGGTAGTGGTCACAGCCACACTTGCAGTCTGGTCTTCCCCTCACTTTGGAAACAGGATTTTGATAGGTGCATCACCTGGGAAATAATGACGCAGCCTCCCTGCACTTTTGCTGTGGACCTGTGCACTGGGCTCAGCATCAGAGAACTGGCTTTAGTCTCCAGGAAGCTTGAGCTACTGTTACTTTGTTTCTCTGAGTGCTAGCTCCTTCCTATGTGAAAGAAGGTAGCTAGACTAGACTAGGGTTCCAGTGCTTTTCCCAGAAGGACAATCCCCTGAGTTGCCCTGGAGCTGAGTGTGGACTCATAGTAACAGAAGAGTTGGGCCTGAGAGTGCTGAAGAGGAGAGAAGGAGCAACCCCACTCGAGCAGCTCTCAGAGGTGGGACACCCTGGCATGGGGAACGCAAGGCAGGGTTCTTTGGTGTCAGTTTCTTAAGTCTAGGTAATGAACTCACCCATTTGCATTCTTGGAAAATAATTGCAGGCCCCCATGTCACCAAGTTGCTATCATTTTTATTATTATAATGTTATTTCAATACATATAACCATGAAGCTATATCTGAACACCCTGTTTGAAGATGGCTATCAGTCTGTTCAGGCTGCCATAACAAAAGACCACAGACTGTTAACTCTTAGGTAGTAAAAGTGCTGGTAATCCCAGTACTGGAGGCTGGGAGGTCCAAGGTGCAGGCACCAGCAGATTCAGTTCATAGTGAGTGCTTGCTGTCTGCTCCAGGTTGTGCCTTCTTGCTGCTTCCCCATGGGTTGGGAAAGTGAACATATATGGTAGCTTTCTGAAGACTCTTTAAGAAGATATTGCATTAATCCTATTCATGAAGACAGAGCCTGCAGGACTTCATCCCCTCCCAAAGCCCCACCATCAAATCCCATCACCTTGGTAATTAGGTTTCCATGTGAAGTTTGGAGGGACAGAAACATTCAAACCAGAGCAATTACTATATTGCAGAACAAAATTAAATCAAATACCACAAAACTAAAAATATTCAAATTTTCCTGTTCATTTAATATGCTGCGTAAGTGAATATTATTATGCAGAAACTACATTGCCAATTTGGGGGTCCATGGTAGAACACTGTTAGGTTAGGTCTGGTCTTTATTTAGTCTGTTTTTATTTTGTGAGTTTCAGAATGCAACTCCTGAGAGTTCCAGTTTGCATAGAAAAGAGGAGTATGAATACATCCCATCCTTGTTTCCAGTTCAGGTGAAGCACTTAACCGACATTTTGTAAGTAAGGAAGACATATGTCACTTGGAAGGTCTGTGAGGTTCTTCCTTTCTGTGAAGATATTAGTTGTTGTTACAGATTACCCTAAGAGTGAAAAAAATTTTATTAATTTTTATTGGTATGTTTGCCATACATAATGATCACATTCATCACAGGGAATTTGTACCCATACATAATATATCTTAATTCTTTTTTTTCCCATTCCCTTCCCCTCCTGTCAACCCTTCTTTCCCTATACATTTACAAAAGCTTGGCTTTTTTTTTTTTTTGGAACCAGGGATCGAACTCAGAACCTTGGGTTTGCAAGGCAGGTGGCAGAACCACTGAGCTAAATCCCCAGCCCTAGCTTCTATTTTTTTCTTCTATTCTTTTTTAAAATCCCTATTCCCTTCCTTCCTTTCTCCAATTCCCTTCCCATTTGAACATGTTCTTCCTACGTCCCAGTATCCATCCTCCATTTTGCTCCTTATTTACACTTCGGGTTTCTCACGCAAGAGAAACAATGCAATATTTACACATGTGTTTCTGATTTATTCCATTTAAAATTATGGTCTCCAGAAGCATCCATTTACCTAAAAATGTCTCAAGTTTATCCTTCTTAATGCCAGAGTAGTACTTCACTGTACATAAAAATAACATTTTATTCATTTGTTGATGGAATTCTAGGCCATTTCCAAGATTTAACTATTATAAATTGTGCTGTTATAAGCATGGGTGTGCATATAGCACTGTCATATGATGCTTTTTAACTCTTTCAGGAAGATACCTAGAAGGGGAATAGCGGGGTCAAATAGAACCTCTAGTTTTAGTTTTTTGGGGAATCTCCATACTTATGTCCATAGTGGTTGTACTAATTTACACTCCTACCAACATGGAGAAGGGTCCCTTTTTCTCCAAAGCTTTACCAGCATTTGTTATTGGTTGATTTCTTGAAAATAGCCATTCTTTCCAGAGTGAGATGAAATCTGTTTCTTTTTTTTTTTTTTGGTACCAGGGATCCAACTCAGGACCTTGCAAGGCAGGCACAGAGCCAGTGAGCTAAATTCCCAGCCCTCAGTGTTGTTTTATTTTGCATCTCTCCAATGACCAGTGACGTTGGACATTTTTTCATATATTTATTTGCTGTTTGTACTTCTTCATCTGAGAAATGTCTTTTCATTTCATATGCCCATTTTTGGACTGGGTCTTTAAATTGGTGGTGGGGGGGGTGTCTGATTTTTTTGAGTTCTTTTTTTTTGTACGGGGATCGAACTTGGGTCCTTGTGCTTGCGCAGCAGGCGGCAAAACCACTGAGCTAAATCCCTGGCCCTTTTTGAGTTCTTTATATATTCTAGATACTAACCTTTGTCTGAGGAGTATCTAGAAAAATATTTTTCCCATTCTGTAGGTTGTCTCTTCACTCTGTTGGTGGTTTCTTTTGCTGTACAAAACCTTTTTAATAAGATGAGATCCCAGTTGTTGATTTTTTGTAATTATTTCCTGTGCAATTGGGGTTTTGTTCATAGTGTCTTTTCCTACACCTATGTCTTCAAGAGTTTTACCTATTCTATTTTCCAGTAGAGTGTTCCAGTTGAGTGTTTTGGTTTTAATATTTAGATCTTTGACCCATTTTAATTTTAGTTTAGTACATGGTGAAAAATATGGGTCTAGGTTTAATTTTTGGCTTGTGGAAAGCCATTTTTCCCAGTACCATTTATTAGAGGCTATCTTTCCTCCAGTGAAGGTGTTTGGTTCCTTTGTCAAAGATAAAGCAGCTAAGTGTGCTTGGAGTTGTTTCTGCATCTTCTGTTCTGTACCATTGACCCTCAGGTGTTATTTTTTGCTAGTACCATGCTGTTCACAGTAGCTTTGTAATATAACTTCAAATTGGGGATTGTGATGCCCCATGCCTTGCCTTTATTGACCAGAATTGATTTTGCTATTCTGGGTCTCTTCTGGTTTCATAAGAATTTTAGGATTATTTTCTCTTGTTTTGTGAAGTATGCTATTGGTATTTTGATTGAAACTGCATTAAATCTGTATAACAGTATTGGAAGTATGGCCATTTTTCACTATATTGGTTCTGCTTATCCAAGAGCAGGAGATATTTTTCCCTTGTCTGATATCCTCTTCAATCTCGTTTTTCAGATACTGTAGTTTTCCACGTAAAGGTCTTTCACTTCCTTCATTAGATTGATTCCTAAGTATTTCTTTTTTTTTTTTTTTTGGTACTGGGGATCGAATTTAGGACCTTGCGCTTGAGAGGCAGGCGCCGGAACCACTGAGCTAAATCCCCGGCCCTTCTTTTTTCTTGATGCTACTGTGAAAGGTATTGTTTCCCTCTCAGTGACTTTGTTATTCTTGTACAGGAATGGTACTGATTTTTGAGTGTTGACTGTATCCTGCTATACTATCAAATTTGGTTATTAAATCTGAGAGACTTTTGGTGGAGTTTTTGAGGTCTTCTATGTAAAGTATCATGACATCAGCAAATAATGATAATTTAACTTCTTCCTTTCCTATCCTTATTTCTTTTATTTCTTTCTCTTGTACAATTGTTACGGCTAATGTTTTCAGAACTATATTGGATAGAAGTGATGATCGTGGCATCCTTGTCTTGTTCCTGAATTTAGAATGAACATTTTCAGTTTTTGATGATTTAGTATGATGTCTGCTGTTGGTTTGCAGTAGATGGCTTTTTCCAGATTGAGATAAAGATCCTGCTTTCCAGTTTTTTGTAGGGTTTTTATCATGAATGGGTTGGACTTTTTCAAATGCTTTTTCTGTGTCTATTGAAATGATCATGTGGTTTTTGTCCTTGGTTTTGTTAATTTGGTGTACTACATTTATTGACTTGTGTATGTTGAACCATCCCTGCACCTCAGGGATGAATTCTACTTGGTCATGGTGTATAATCATCTTGATGATTTGCTACATTCTGTTTGCCAGTATCTTATGGAGGATTTTTGCATCTACATTCATTAGGGAGATTGGACTGTAGTTCTCTTTTTTGGTTGGATCCTTCTCTGGTTTTGGTTGCAGGGTAATGCTTTAAGCAGTGAATTTGGGAGCATTGCTTCCCTTTCCATTTCATTAAAGACTTTGAGGAGTTTGTGGCATTAGATCTTCTCTAAATTTCTTGAAGAATTTAGTAGTGAATCCCTCAGAATCTAGACTTTTCCCTGTTAGTAGTTTTTTTTTATTACTTCTTAAATTTAACTGACTGATATTGGATTGTTTAGAATTTTTATATCTTTTTGATTCAGCTTTGGTAATTCATATGTATCTAGGAATCTATCCATTTTCTTCTGAGTTTTCCATCTTAGAGCACAGATTTTCAAAATAGGTACTGATGATCTTTTGGATTTCTGTAGGATCTGTTGTGATTACACCCTTTTCATTCCTAATTGCATTGATTTGGGTCTTTTCCTTCCTTTTTTTTTTTTTGATAAGGCTAGCTAAGAGTTTGTCTATTTCATTTAATTTTTCAAAGAACCAACTCTTCAATTCATTGATTCTTTGTATTGTTTTCTTAGTCTCAATTGAATTAATTTCTTCCTGATCTTTATTATTTTCTTCCTCGTATGTGCTTTTGGTTTAACTTGTTCTTTTTCTAGAAGCTTGAGGTTCAACATTAGGTTGTTTATTTGAGCTCGCTCCATTTTTCTGATGTGGGAATTCACCACTATAAACTTCCCTCATAGGACTGATTTCATAGTGTCCCATAAGTTCTGGTATGTCATATTGGCATTATTGTACAATTATAGAAACTGTCTAATTTCTTTTTTAATTTCATCTGTGACCCATTGGTTGTTCAGAAGGGGGGTATTATTTAATTCCCATGTGTTTATGTAGTTTTTGTGGTTTCTTTTGCCATTTATTTCCAATTTTATTGCACTATGATCTGATAATATGCATGGGATAATTTCCATTTTTTTGCATTTACTTAAGTATGTTCTATGAGCTAGTATATGATCTATTTTGGAGAAAGTCCCATGTGCTGCTGAGAATATGTATTCTTTTGTTGTTGGGTGCAACACTTCTAAGTCCATTTCTTCAAAGATTTGTTTCAGCTCTGATATTTTTTGTTGGTGTTTTTTGTCTAGTTTATCTGTCTATTTGTGACAGTGAGCTGTTGAGGTCCCCTATTACAACTGTATTAGTGCTTATTTGATTTTTCATATCCATCAGTGTTTGTTTTATATAGTTGGATGCACTGGTATTTGGTACATATATAATTGTTATCTCTTCCCCTTGGATTGTTCCCTTAACAATTATGTAATGACCTTCTTTGTCTCTTCTGATCTATCTTGGCTTAAAACTCACTTTGTCTGCAAATAGAATAGCTACTCCTGCTTTTTTCTACTGCATGAAGTATTATTTTCCATCTTTGGCTTTCGGTCTATGAATTTCTTTTGGGGTTAAGTGTATTTCTTGTACGCATTATATTGTTGAATCTTGTTTCTTGATCCATTCTGGCAATCTGTTTCTTTTTATTGGTGAATTGAAGCCATTCATATTGATGGTTATAACTGATATGTATTGACTTATCCTTGTCCTTTTATTATTTTTCTGTTGTTGGTTCCCTTTCTTTCCCTTCTATTTAATTGTTTGCCTTGCCTGATGGATACATTCTGTTGGGATTCTTGGAATTGTTGTCATCATTGTCTCTTTCTAGAATATTGCTCAGAATTTTTTGGAGTACTGTTTTGGTAGTCATGAATTTCTTCAAGTGTTGATTATCATGGAAGTTATCTTATGTCTCCATCAATTTTGAAAGATAATTTTGCAGGGTATAACAATTTTGTGTTGGAGGTTGTTTTCTTTTAGGGCTTGAAATACTGCACTCCAAGCTCTCCTTGACTTAAGGGCTTATGTTGAAAAGTCTGCTGTTATTCTGATGGATTTTCCCTTATAGTTTATTTATTTTCTCTAACAGCTTTTAATGTTTTGTTCTTTTGTTGAATTTCTGGGATCTTGACTAGTATATGCCTTGCTGTAGTTTTTTTTCTGATCATGGC